GCACATCGTCAACAGCCATTTAATAATTTGTTGACCGATCTTTATGAAACATATCTCATTTTTTTAGTCGTTTTATCTACTATCAAAATAAAAATAAAAAAATTAAGAATTTAAAATTTAACTATTTTTTTTTAAATTGAAACCGCATGTAACTTTGGTTTTTTCTTATTTATTTCCCCTTTTTTCTAATTTTTTACGGTGTAAGTACTTATTTTTTTCCAAATCGATTTTATTTATTCAGAGTAGTATTTTTAAGGAAATTTTAGGGAATCACAAGCCATACTTAAGTGTTAAGTGTTCCTTTTAAGCTGCAAATCAGATTTTAGCATGGATGATGACTTTGAAATAACCAAATCCAGGCTTGGAAACTTTTTGGATCGTCCAATTGGCCCAGACTTCTTATAAACATGATCCTAACTTAAGATAAAATACTAACCGTAGCCCCATTCTAGATTTAATATTTTAAAATTTATAAGTAACACAAGTGTACTTATTATTTTGACCACACCAAAACCGACCTATCGCACAAATGTAGGGCTAACATGGATTAGACAGGTTTTACTGTATCCATTGTTTATTTAAATATTGCAGAACAGAATAACCTTTCCAAATAAAAAGGTTTGGGAGGTCTGGCCTCAATAACTATAGAGATATCTCTTAGCAAGTGAGGGTGTAACGTGTGTACTTATTCTTTTGACCAGTAGTGTAGTTGTCCGATCCGGTTGGTTCCGACATATATACTACCTGCAATAGAAAGAAGACTTTTGGGAAAGTTTCATCCCGATAGCTCAAAAACTGAGAGACTAGTTTGCGTAGAAACAGACAGACGGACAGACGGACGGACAGACGGACAGACGGACATGGCTAGATCGACTCGTCTTGTGATGCTGATCAAGAATATATATACTTTATGGGGTCGGAAACGTCTCCTTCACTGCGTTGCAAACTTCTGACTAAAATCATCATACCCTCTGCAAGGGTATAAATATTTGCATCTTTTGTAAACCGGCTTACACAAAAAGTAATATTGGGGTTAATTCATACAAGACTATCTTCAAAATGTGAAGAATGTACATATTCAGGGTCCACAGAAACCGATCTGCGCTGAATGCGGGCTGAATTCAAACGTTTTATATTCCTGTCTATGTGAATTCAGCGCGAATCAAGCGGAGATCTGTTTTTGTGGACCCTGAATATTTACATTCTTAACATTTAGGAGATACAGTCTTGTCATATTCAACTTTGAGGATCTTTTTCTCAGAATCCTTGCGTCGGGTAATTTTCTACATTCTTTTTGGGGTTAATTCATACGAGAATGTATCTTCAAAATGTGAAAAATTTACATATTCAGGGTCCACAGAAACCGCTCTGCGCTGAATGCGGGCTGAATTCAAACGTTTATTTTTTTGTGGACCCTGAATATTTACATTCTTAGCAATTTGAAGATACAGCCTTGTCTTATCCAACTTTTAGGTTATTTTTATCAGAATACAGAAGCATACAGCTGCGGTCAAAATAGTAGTAGTATTGCCGCCCTGTGTTTTTAAAAGTTTGTTGTTGTCACTTTTCTTATCCTATTAGTCTAATAGTACAATTATAATCAATACATTATTACCAGGAGAGGAAAAATTACAACAACCAACCTTTAAAAACACAGGGCGGCAATACTACTACTATTTTGACCGCAGCTGTATGCTTTTATGTTTTTTGACTATATTTTCTAAAATTTGTTTCACCCTTAATAAAAATCCTAAAATTATTCCAAGTATGGGGTTTGAAAGATAAAGAGTGTGTCTTTTACGTTTGCCTATGAGAGCTCCGGAAAGTGGACCAATTTCAGCATTTTTCGAACTTTGAGGTCCTTTTGCTAAGAATCCTTGCGTCGGGGAACTTTTTGGAAAACGCAGTTTAACTTCGGAATTCATAACGAATCCAAAAATATAGCATCCATCGAGGTAAATTTAATAAGCATTAAAAATGCTGCACAGTGTTATTAGTATGTTGCTTTGTTTTTAAGTTATAAGTTAAGGCCATAAAAAGTGGTCCTTCAGCGTTAATTCATCCAGTGTTAATTTTGTAACACAGTGTTGTAGGTTGTACTAGTATTTTTTCCGCACTTGGACTTTAAAAATTTAGCAATGCAGCTGTCAAAAGTTGACAACACCCGCAATATGTGGGAATGGCTTGTGGTTTTTTGGGGCTCGAAAAAAAATGTACTTGGAATTCGAAGGCTGGAGGAGGAAAGGGTGGGCTTTTCGAAACCAAATCGAAGGCAGCCACAACCGATTTTTCTCTGCTAATTGAAAAGTAAGCTATGCACGTATGTGTATTTGGCCAATTACGCCTAATTGCTGTCAAGGCGACAACAGTGAAAATGAAAAGTTCCACAAATGATCAGCCGGACTTGGGACCGTGGAAAGCTTTGTCGCCTGTCGGCGGAAATCGGTGGAATGGGGGGGAAAATTACTGCTGGTTGGCTGCAAGTGGCGAAATGTCAACAGCAAACAGAGAAATACCAAGCTAAATACCAACTTTCCTGAGCTCAGAGCAAAACATTATGTTTTGCATTTACTTTTGGCTTCTAGTGACCTAGTTTTAATACTTTTGCAGAGAGTACTTTAATTTTGCTAACAAGTTTGGAATGTATAAAAATACTAATTCATAATCAGCATCAAGAGCCGAGTCAATCTAGCCATCTCCGTCTTTTTTGCAGGGTTCGGTTTAAAATAAAGGTCCTGTTCGGACGTTTAGCCCGATAGCTCTTATAGAAACTATCGGATAAAATTATATAATTATGATAACCGTTTGATTTTTATCTTTAGTAACATTGTTTAGTTTTTTTTATTTTTTTGCGCTGTACTTGCTCCACTCCCCTAGATTAAAACGAATTTACCACTTGCACCAAACAATTTGCCATATCAGATGCCATTTAAGTGGTTTACCTCCATACGCCGCATGGAACCGCCAAAACAATGCGACCCCATGGCCCCAACTCCAAAACCAACCACTCCCCCATCTGCGTTAAACAGTGGCTTTATGCGCAGAAAAATATTGTTTTTATTTCCTTGCACTTGGGTTGCAGAAAATATTGAAATTAAATATATTAAACAAAATTTAAAAACAATTGTAGCATATCATACGATTTACAATTTTTTTTTGTGGAGTGCCTTAGCCTTTGTCTCGGTTTGGCTCTTTACATTTTGTTTTGGCTTTCGATTTCAGATTGGTTTTCGGTTTCAGTTTGGGTTTTTGTTTAATTGCCAACAAAGTGCGAACCGGTTCGCACAAGCCAAGAACAATGACAACCGGCCAGCAGCAGGCAAATGTCAAGGTGTTCCATGGCAGAACACTGGCAATGCCAGCCGGTTGACAAACGTTGACGTTGGATACGATTCTGAGCAGGTATTAAAAGTGGATTAATGGCGGGCGGAGAACTGACGATTATTGCGGCAATTATGCGACCAAATTGCGGCTTATAAGATCAATCAATCGGTGAACAGCCAAAAGCGATCGAACGGTGGATTAATAGGCGATAAGTGAGTGTCTTTCGAAAGTGTGTATGCCAAACAAAAGACTCAAGCAACGAACTTGCTATCTCATCGGGGTTTTCGGTGTCGATTCGCTTATCGAAGTATCATGGCTTTGTATCGAAAGAACAAATATACTCGAAAAAAGACCAATTATAGTAAGAAACCTAAATAGGTTCAGGACTAGTCATCAATATCAAAATCAATCAAAAAAAAAAACAACGATTTTTTTAAACTTTTTTTCTTGTAGAATAACATCTTAAGATTATGCAAAAAAAGTTTTAAGGCAATCGGAAAAAATCTTTAGAAGTTATGCCAAAATTAGTACCCTAACCTCTTAAACTTTAGGTACGTAAGTGCATCTTTAAGTGCGTTTTTCTCGAAACCACGTTTTGAAAGGGTTTTTTTTATTTTTTAACTTTAAATATTTTATTTTTAAGCCGAAAGTCAAAGTTTTTAGGTGAAAAACGCATTTTTGACTTTGAACTATCGAAAAAAAATTAAAAATAAAAAAATAATAATTGGGCTTTCCAGGGGCGGGTTTTTTTAATTCTTAAGTGACATGTTAAAAGAAAATGGAAATCCGATCATATTTAGCGAAGGTACAGTGAGCACCGCAAAACGCCTTTTTTTAATAGTGTTCCAGCAATCTCTTTGCCACCGATATATTAGCCGATAGTATCGGCTTAAAAAATTGGTGAATGTTATTTAAATGACACTTAATAATATACAAAAGGTTTGAATTAAATCCATTCAACCAGTTTTTATAGAAAAAATCGCAAAGTTAGTCAATTTTTTTGGTGCCACCCTAGTCCACCCTAGTGTACACAGATCAAGTTTGAAAAGCGCTCCAATCGGACGTCTCGCATAGTAAAAATAAATAAATAATAGTAACAGTTATTTACATGCATCTTTCTAAATCTTATTTTTTTATGCACAACTTGATCGGGATAAAAGAAGTCGGAAGTCTATATCTTATAACTTTCATAGAAACAATAGGATGAAATCGGTAAAAAATTGGCGTTTTTCAGGATATATCGCGCAGTATATAAGCTAAGCTATTGACATGAATCTTTCCAAAAGGCGTGTGCCGATCGAACCTTTATATCATATGGCTTCCATAGAAACAATATATGTGAACAATTAAAATTTTTCATTTATAATATTTATGCTTTTCAAGTCTAATTTTCATTCGGCTCGAAGTTAGCTTCCGTCCTCGTTAATTGCTACATTAAGGATTAAAGGATTAAAGGAATTTAATACCATAGTTGCTTTTTTTTTAGCCGATTAAGTGGCTGCTAAAATGTATAATCATTATAGCTAAAGACATGTTTGCAAATATGCAAATACTTATAAAATTACAAAATTCATGATAAGTTTTCCAAAATTCAAAGCCGCATTAGTGCGATAATAAGGATATGACTAAAAATTAACTTAACTTGATAACTTATTTTAATTCTCTTTTGAATACAGCTTGTCAATGAACCAGTGACTTCACCATCGTCCTAACCCAATCAACTTAGCTAAGCAGAAATGATAGAGACCAGTAATCAGCAGTCAGGAGGAGTCGACTTCAATGGCCGCCACTCAGCATCGCCGGCCCGAACCATAGACTCGCATGATTCCACCACGGGCAGCATGGACACCATTGTGGATCGCAGCTTGAATCGCGAGGAACTCCACCAGGTGGCGACCACCATCGAGCAAAGCACAAATACCACGAACACGACGGGATCAGAAAGTCTGACCAACTCGCAAATTGGCATGTTACAAAGGGACGAAGAGCGGAAACAGCAGGAGGATCAGGAGCAGGCACGCCAGGATGCCCAGAGTCACATTTATTCGAGTCCAGTCTACGATGAGAAGCCGCCGGCAATGAAACTACTTTCCGCAGCCCTAGACCTGGACACGGAAAAGGCCAAGGCCAGGATTGACGAGGATAATAAGCCTAAGATGATTTCGCACCAGGAATTCAAACAACAGCTGGAGGAGGCTATGGTCTCGCGGCATCCCAACCAGGTAAGCAACGCATAAAGCAGCTCAATTTGAAAGCTAAAGACTTTTGGGAAAGTTTCATCGCGATAGCTTTAAAACTGAGAGACTAGTTCGCATAGAAACGGACAGACGGACATGGCTAGATCAACTCTAGTGATGCCGATTAAGAATATATATACTTTATGGGGTCGGAAACGTCTCCTTCACTGCGTTGCAAACTTCTGACTGAAATTATAATACCCTCAGTGAGGATATAAAAATTAAAACAAAAACTAGTAGTTTTTAAAACTGTCAAGAAAGTGTTTTGACAAAGGGCAAGAAAATGTTTGATATGAATGTTTACTTTTAGAATAATGAAACGAATTCCAAATTGTCATTAAGCACATGAAAAAACCATTACACTATGCAACATCAAAAATGTACCTCGATGGATGCAATTTTTTTTGAATTCGTTTCAAATTCCCAAGATAAGCTGCGTTTTCCAAAAAGTTTGCCGACGCAAGGATTTTTATCTTTCTTATCTTTCAAATGCCATACTTAGAATAATTTTATGATTTTTTTTAAGGAAGAAACAAATTTATATAGTCCAAAAACATAAAACATACAGTTGCGGTCAAAATAGTAGTATTGTTGCCGCCCTTTCTTGACAGTCTAAAAAATGACTAGTTGTTGTTTTTTAAGTACTTTAGCTTAATGCAGTGCAAGTTGGTATTTTTCCTCTTTCAATACACTATGTTGACATAATGTACATATATGAATGTTTTACGAGTATGTACACTCTTTCTTTTTGTGTAGCTGAACGCGACCAAGAGTGCGGCTAACACTTTGGACTCCAGGATCAGCCGGAAACAGCGCTGTCCGCCGGACTTCATCAAGTACAAGGAGGGCAGCGAGGGCGGGTGCAGTGCCTCCTCGTCGCTTTCAAAGGACCGGCGCAAGCGGAAGGCGAGTAATGAATGTTGCTCGGCATTTCCACTGCAAATAGTGCTGGGCACTCTCCAGTTGCTCCTGGCCATTTCCCTGGTGGCCCTGGGATCGCTCCTAATTGTCCGGGAGGCAGCCCTCTCTACGGCGGGATGCGGCGTCTGGACGGGACTAATAGCCGCCGTTACGGGTTCCCTTGGAGTGGTGAGCATGCGCAAAACGCAGACGGCCTTTTTGGCTCTTAGTTTGGTCTGCATCGCTAGCAGCACATTGGCCCTGGCCATTTCCGGCGTAGGTTTGTCCAGGGATCTCAATAGGATGGCGGAGCAAAAAGGGGAACAGGTATACTTTGGATCTCCATTTCAAAGACACTCGTCCCAATATCTCTATCCCCTTTCAGTTCGATTTAATCAATGCCAACAGCGAGGTCTCCGCCGCCTGCGGTCTAATTTTCGCCCTTTTTCTGCACTTCGTGGTTAGTATTGTCTCCGTCTATAGATGTGCCCTCCAGATTTGCACCAAGTGAGTAGAACTTTTTTACATTTATCTCTTTTTAGTTTAACAAATACATGTGTACATACCTAGAACATACAATATTGTTATTCATTTTGGTAATTTTGCTTTTCGAATAAATTGTCCGACTTTTCGATAGGTATTTGTAAACACAACAAAATCACACTTCAGTTTTTCAAAATTTGTAAATTAGCAAGTGAAAAAGAGAGAGAGAGAAGTATAGTAACGGGGTATCCATAAATATAAATTAAAATGTGAAAAAGCTAAATAATAAATAAAAATTAACTTTCCGTCTCGACGTGGGATTGAGCCCACACTTGCGGCTATAACCTTGAATAACATGTTCACGCACGCACGCGTTAGACCCTAGTCAACTCAAAAACTTATTTTATATACTAATTTTATAATGCTAATATCTTCCGAAAACATAAACAAAAATCACATATTTTCAACGAAAACACTTAGTTTTCCAACAAAAGCAACAAAAAATCCGAATTTTAAGGTTCAACGAATAATGGGACTCTCGCTGAATATGGTTATTTTTTATGGAACTTGCTGCAAACTATGGGTTTTTGGCATTGAGATTACTTTGTAGTAGAGATTAAAAGAAGAAACCATCACTACACTGCAAAAAAAAGTTGAAATGGCTCCAAGGAAAGCCATTTTCTGAAAAACTTCGTCAGTTTCTAGGGGGATTCCCTAAACTGTTGAATTGCTGAATTGTTGAAAATTCAACAAAAAATTTCAGCAATTAAGGGAACGACCCAAAATAGTTCCTGTTGAATTTTCAAACAGCTGTTATTTGTTGAAAAGTTTCACGGAACTTAAAGCATGTAAAATTTGATTTAATTTTGCTAGTTACGGTCTAAAAGTGTTACCAAGGTAAAAAGAACCACAAATATGCTTTCTAAGTTGATTTTAAAATAAATAATGCGTAATGGTGATACTAAAATGTTACAGAGTTGCCACGACTTTTAAAAAAAGGTGACAACTCTGGCTTTTCAGCAATTCAACAAAATTTTCAACAGCCCCGAGGCTGATGAATTGCTGAAATTTCTGAAAGTTGGCTTTGTATGGAACAGCTGATTAACAGCTGACCAAAATTCAACAATTCGGCAATTCAACAGTTTAGGGAATCCCCCTGATTTAAAAACTCAATTTCGAACTGATAACTCTTCGGAAATTCACTGGATTGGTCGGAGAAGTCAAGTCTATTGTCCTGGACATTATAATGAGGTTCCGGGATACATTTTAATATGACAATAGAGGCGGGAAAGGCCAAAACAAAATGTGGTGCACGGCATTATTCCAGGCGGTCAAAATTGCAACAGCGATTTTAAGCAGCCGTGTGCAATGGTATTTTCTGGTATTTTTGTGATATTTCCGTAGTTAGACTTAGTACCGCTGTACAGCACCACTATTTTGTTGGTATTCATTTTTTTTAATTGTTTTACTTGGGCCTTTTTAAATTTTTTGGATAAAGAAAGATAGGTTGAAATCTCAGCTTTTGCAACATCGGCGTCTGTGTGAATGGGTCGCAACAAATGTTTGCATCACATCTTTTTAAACAACTCCTAAGAACTAATTTTCAGTTGTAGCAACGATAATAGAGGCAAAAGCATAGTATTTTATTCTTTTGCCCGAGTTCACTTAAGGCGGCTAGCAACGTATTCAAAATTGGTATATTTTTGTGGTATTTTGTTCGTTTCTCCTACGAACTGCGGCTCTCCGAAGACTCTCGCCTCTCGCTCTCGGATTTCGTCGATATGAGTATGTAAATTTGGTGAAATACCGACATACGAAAACATCGATTGCAAAGAACGTAATCGATGTTTTCATTAAAATATCGCTGTAATCGATGTTAACATCGATTTTTTTGCAGCACTAAAAAAACTTTATTTATTGTTTAATGTGTAAATAATAGTGATAAGAAGCAACACAGCTGTGCGGATTGCGGAGCGGATAGCAAAGCAGACGGCGTATAAAACGGGGGCGCATTAGAAAAGTGCAGCTTGTTGGTCGTAGAGGGCAGCACGGAAAGCAGAGAAATCCGGAGAAGCAACAGCGCAGTCGGCAGCGACGCCCACGCAGCGGAAGTAATAAAAAAGAAAAGAGAAATCGGAAGGAGGGGGAAGAGCCGAGGAGGCGCAGGAGGAGGAGGAGGAGGAGGAGGAGGAGGAAAAGCAGGTGGGTCGAGTAAAGGAAAAACGGGAAACGAGGAACAGCAGTCCCACAACGCCAGCAGCTATCGAAGTCATGCCGCTGGCCGATTCCCAAAAGGATCTCCGCCAGCAGCCTCAGCAGCCTCAGCAGCAGCAGCAGCAGCAGCAGCAGCAGCATGTGTCCTCCACCAGCAGCAACAACAATGCGGAGCAACAGTGCAGCAGTAGCACCGGATTGGGCCTGCAGCTGCGCCAGCGCATGCAGATTACCTCTTCCGGCTGCAGCAGCCTCGCGGTCACGCCCATGGAGCACACGCCCACCGAGGACGAGGAGAGTGGCGGCGGCAGCAGCGGAGTCACCTCCTCCGTCACCACGGTGACCTCATCGCAGCGTCGCCAGCAGCAGCTGCATCAAGTGCAACAGCAATCCGCTTTGCAAGCTGCCCTCGAGCAGCATCACATCTCGCCGGCGGCAGAAGAGGATTTTTCCAGGGAAAGACCGGTGCATCGAACACTATGTGCGCCGCCGCCGCCGGAACTCATGGAGCTGAGTGATTCCGAGTCCCAGGGAGGCAGAAGAGAAGGGGCAGCTGGAACCGAACCGCTGGATGAGACCGAAAACGAATTCGAGCTCAAAGAGGTCATAAAAGAGGGTCACGACAAGGCCGACCCGTCGCAGTTCGAACTCCTTCGTGTCCTAGGCGAGGGCAGCTTTGGCAAGGTCTTCCTGGTGCGGAAGATTATCGGGAAAGATGCTGGTACGCTGTACGCCATGAAGGTGCTCAAGAAGGCCACCCTTAAGGTCAAGGATCGCGTCCGGAGTACCAACGAACGCAAGATCCTGGCGGACGTGGGGCATGCCTTCATCGTGCGCCTGCACTATGCCTTTCAAACGCCCGGAAAACTCTACCTGATATTGGATTTCCTTCGTGGCGGCGATCTGTTCACCCGTTTGTCCAAGGAAGTGATGTTTACCGAAGAAGACGTTAAGTTCTATTTGGCCGAACTGGCGCTGGCCATGAACCATCTGCACTCGCTGGGCATCATCTACAGGGACCTTAAGCCAGAGAATATACTACTCGACGAGCATGGTCATATAGCCTTGACGGACTTCGGTCTGTCCAAGCAGCCCTTGGATGGATCTAAGACCTACAGCTTTTGCGGTACCGTGGAGTACATGGCGCCGGAGATTGTGAACCGGAAGGGACACGATTTTGCCGCCGACTGGTGGAGTTTCGGGGTGCTCATGTACGAAATGCTAACAGGGAACCTACCGTTTCATGGCCAAACCCGTCAGGAAACTATGAATCAGATCCTAAGAAGCAAGTTGGGCATGCCGGAAAATCTGTCGCCGGAGGCGCAGTCGCTGCTACGGGCGCTCTTCAAGAGAAATCCCCAGAATCGCCTGGGTGCGGGTACCCAAGGAATACTGGACATCAAGGCGCACTGCTTCTTCGCCACCATCGACTGGGTGAGATTGGAACGAAAGCAGGTGCGTCCGCCTTTTATACCGGCGGTGAGCCGTGACGACGCCTTCTACTTTGATGTGGAGTACACCTCGAAGTCCCCCAGGGACTCACCGGGTGGTCCAATCTCCGCATCTGCGCATGAAATTTTCCGTGGCTTTAGCTTCGTGGCTCCTGTCCTCCTGGAAGGCCAATGTGCCGGCTCCAATAGCTGCTCCACCAGTGCTAGTCCACTGCATAATATAGCTCCTATTCCCGCTGTTCCGGCGGGTGCGCCTCGAACTTTACCCGGTGTCCTGCCCGGCAACTTCCATGCTGAGTACAATCTGCTGCAGGAACTGGGACGTGGAACTTTCTCCGTTTGCCGACTGTGCGAGCATCGCGCCTCCAAGAAGCATTACGCCGTTAAAGTGATCGAAAAGGCCGCTGTGGCCGCCGCATCCACATCCACATCCACGTCCGCCGATTGCTGGGAGGAAGTGGAGATTATGTTAAGGTACGGCAACCACCCAAATATCGTCACTCTGTATTCGGTTTACGAGGATGCGGGCTCCGCCTATTTAGTAATGGAGCTCCTGAAAGGCGGGGAGCTGCTCGATCGCATACTGGCCGTAGGTCAGATGTGCGAAAGCGAGGCGAGCGCCGTTTTAAGGACGATTGCATCCGCGGTAGCGTATCTCCATGAACATGGCGTTGTGCATCGAGACCTGAAGCCTTCGAATATGATATATGCCAGCATGCGACAGACTCCCGAAACCCTAAAGCTCTGCGATTTGGGTGAGTGTGGGGATCAGTGGGCTTATCCTCGTTATATAGACTTGCAGTCGGCTCTCCAGTTTATAAAAGCTGACTTACTTTAAGTAGGAAACCAATTGCAAGTCTGTATTTCTCAGAGCACTCCTTTCTTGTGGACCAGGAATAACCTTTCGATTTCCATCCAGGCTTCGCCAAGCAGCTGCGCGCAGACAACGGACTCCTGATGACGCCCTGTTACACAGCCAACTTTGTGGCGCCCGAGGTTCTGAAGCGGCAGGGCTATGACCTGGCCTGCGACATCTGGTCGCTGGGCGTCCTTCTGTACATCATGCTATCCGGCCGGACGCCATTTGCCAGCACTCCGAACGATTCGCCGGACGTAATACTGAAGCGCATCGGGTCGGGGCACATTGACTTCACCAGCAGTCGCTGGGCACTGGTCAGCGTGCCAGCCAAGGAACTGTTGCGCCAGATGCTGCACATAGTGCCGGAGAATCGGCCGACGGTAGCACAAATTCTTGAGCATGCCTGGCTGCGGGAACAATTTGCCGGCGGCGTGCAGCTTACTGAGTACGCAGTGGCGCCCGGATCGCAACTTTCGCTAGGCGCCCAGCAGCAGCAGCAGAATCACATTTCGATGGCTTTAAGGGGAGCTGTGGATGCCACGTTTCGGGCCATTGCCATACCGCAGGCGGCCAATGTGGGCCCCGTAGAACTGTCGATGTTGGCCAAGAGGCGGGCCAAAGATAGGGCCAACCTGCACTCCTAATCCTGGGCCGCAGCATGGTGTCCGCGGCGCCAGGCCAAGAGGCAAATAATTCGGCTAGTTTTCCGACTCTATAGTATTCTAATCCAATGCTGCTGTGCCATACCGCGTCGTCTCGTCATTGGCAATGTGCACAAGCTTGGTCCACATCCACATCTGCTGGGCAATCCCCGCAAACGCTGCCGCAGCGCCAAGCTGCGCGTAGTTTAGTCTTTTGGGGAGTTTGGGCCCCATTTTAAGTATTTGACAAAAAGTGTTAATTATTTATTTTATATGAAAGCATACCAAGATGCCAAGGCCAAAAAGCAAAATGCGGGGCATCTATATACACATCTATAACTATAAAGATACGGTTATACATCTATATACATACATAGCTATTTATATAACGTCTCCTTAAGCCAGGGCCTCGAGAGCATATGTGTATGTGGCGCCAGGATCATCTCAGATGACGCCTGATCCCACAGTATTTATCCTTAAAATCGAAATTCGCACACACAAGTTTACAACATATAAAACAAAATGCATACATATTTTTAATTAAATTAATCGTAGCTAAATTTTTCAACATCACCGTGTTATTGTTGTTAAACTAATTAATTATAATTAAAATGAAAAGCGAAAAAAAGTATACACAAAAAAAAAAAACAAGAGTAAGAGCCACAATCCATTTTCTATTATTATAACTAACTTTTATCGCCAAACTAAAAAAAACATAATGAAGCTAAAAAACTGTGTAAAAAGATTATAAGTCGACAAAAAAAACAAAAGAAAACTAACCAAGAGTTTCCCACAACATTTTACTTGGAATGTCAATTTGCACAAATAACTAAGGAACTATAAGATGATTTACATAATGACGAAATTATACTGTTTATGTACATACATTCATTAAAGCGTGGGATGAAACTATTATATTCGGATTTATAAGGCAAAGGACATTAAAACCAGATCATTTTGTTTAACATATTCTTTTAAAGCTATTCCCATATGTAACATAGTACATCTTGTAATTTAATTCCTAGCCCACAAGAAAGGAATCTAACTTTGGCAAGCCGAAGTTTATGTACCCTTGCAGATCGTTCCTTGGCAGCCAAATAAATAGCCGCACAATATTTAACATTTTGATTTATATGTGTATTTGTAAAACCAATAACAAATTATGGCCATTTTTTATTATTTTGCAACTCATTTCTGATCCTTCCTATGGAAGGTATAGGATACAGTTGTCTGATCCGAACCGTTCCGAATAATATTCTACCTGCAAAAGAAATAAGACTATTAGGAAAGTTTCATCCCTAAAGCTTTAAAAATGACAGACGGATATGGCTAGATCGACTTGACTGTTGATTCTGATCAAAAATAAATGTACCAATATACTTCAGGGTCGGAGACGTCTCTTTCAAAGCGTTGCAAACTTCTGCCTGAAATTATAATATCCTCTGCAAGGATATAAATCCTAAATCCAACATGTTCACTGTCTTATAGTACTAAAAGTTTCATCTCATCGTGTACATACTGAAAAACAGTTGTGACAACATCAAATTGGTTTCCCATTTCGTTTGCTGATGTCTTCCAACAGAAGTTGTATCGCTTTACAATACCTTAACTTGAATGTTCTAAATTACACTACGGTGGTTCAGATCCGAAGTCGTAAAGTCATTTCTTTAATAAACTTTATAATACAGATTTGATTGTGTCGCCCCATCGGTTAAACATCAAACGATCAGACTATTTTTTGCCACAAGAAAGACAACTAAAAATGTGATTCTATAAGCAAATTTTTCGCTACTTCGTTTGCAATTCAATTTTTGCCAAGAAAAACTTGTTAAAAACTGTGTTAAAATAATTATTAAAAGATATATACTAAACAAAAATGGGACAAAAACGAATAAAAATATGTACAAGATTCATGTGAATCGAAATCACTTTTTAAGAAAGCTATGTCATCTTGAAAACAAAAGTTTCTCCGACATTTTTGGGGCTTATTTGGCTGAATGTGTGTGCTTTGAGAGTGTGCGTATGTGTTTTGTGTACGTGTGTGTGTGTGTATGCTAATAAGATTTACGCGCTGTGCCACTACTAAACTTACTGCTAACAAAAAACAATAATTGCATATACACCACCTAGAAAATGTTAGTTAAACTTGCAAAAAATTTTAAAACAAATAACTTCACCAAATGATAAACAGTGTATTTTAGCGGTGTGAAGGAAAAAGGTGAAGGGGGATTACGTATATTTATCCAAAAATATATATTAAATTAGCTAGCTGAGGAGTAAATAAAATTTTAAAAGGCACTAACTTTAATTTTGATTTAAAAATGATTTCATTTCAAAAACACCCTGAAATAAAAGTTAAAAAAAATGTGGCTTCGATAAATTTGTAGAAGATATTGAGCAGTATGAAGCAAAAGTTTCAACATAAATACTCAAATCAAATTTAGAGTTTCAAAACATGATAGAAAAAATTCCAGAAATGTTCCGTTAATTACCATATGTTAAAACATTTCAACAAATTTGTACAAAATTAAATAAAAGAAAGATTATTGCTATGATTAAACTCTTTCAGAATTTAATGTCAGTACGGACCCTTCGGTTAGTAAAGATTTATGTAGCAATATTTATTTGAAGCCCATATGTATTTGTTATATTGTGACCTACATATAATAACAATTAAAAAATATTACCGGTTTGATAAAAAACCTACCCAAAAAAGACAGAGATGGCAAACAATCCCCAAGCAAAGGAAAATAACCAAGATTTTGATCCCAGCGTTCAACACTCACTTAAATTATTATAATCAGACCTCAAACTCGACCTGGACGTCGACTAAATTCCCTAAAAAAACACACACCAAATATATATACGGATGCTACGTACATATATTTTCTTAGTAGATTTTTACAGCTTCCAGAACTATATATTCGTATGAAAGAAATCTCATAAAACCAAATGAGTTATTTAACAAATTACTGAGCAACACTTTTATTGTAATCGAAATCGATTCAAAGTTATTGTAAAGTTAAATCCTAAAAAAAGTCAAGAGAGATGATTTGAAACAAGAAATAAACATTCAAAGTTCGAAATTGTTTTGATTTAATAGGGACTGCATATAGTGGATATGTACATAGGCAGTGCATTTTTATTATATTTGCGGCTTACGTTTATCAATGGTTTGATAAGCATACAGCAAAATAATAATTTCTGGTTTTATCGTGTTAGATAAGGTCTTATCAACAAATTATAGTGGGTTGGGACGGCATTCCTCACAGTGTTTACAAAATGACCTACTTACAATAAAAGTCGGTATCTAACATTACTACACTATATCTAATTGCTTATTCAAATATGTTCAAAAATGTGAAAATTTACTTGTAGAGTAAAAGAGAATAATGTATAGCAGGTCGAAAAATATATATGATCAGGATCCTCAGTTTTTACTGAAAAATATTTGTTTCAAAATTATCTATGAAAAATTTATGCCAACTTCTTGTGACGTCAACAAAAGCCCTTAACACTGAAATTTCTCTGGCGCCAATATTATTCCAGATTTTTTAAAAGTATTTGATTTTGTTTAGTTTAAGAATACCCATCAACCTATCTAAAATCTGACAATTTATTAAATAGTTGTGCGTTATAAAAAAATTAAAGTAAAGCTAGAGCTTAAAATTAGCGTGCGAGATAATACAAGTGCCTAAGAAACCCATGTTTTGTCACGCCCACATTAACGCCCACAAACATCAAAAATTTGTGGCGCCCAAATTTTTGAAAGAAATGTACGTGAAATGTATTTTATTTGTCAATATCTATCGAAATGACAAACAATTTTTATATTGGATTATTAGTTAATAAATGAACTTGGTTAGCTGAGTAATTGAATATAACTGTTGAGGGACTCGACTATAGCGTTCTCTCTTGTTTTATTGGTAAGATTCTTTACTGTAGTCAATTATAATTTGGGTGCTTACTTAATTCTCTCGGGACTACTGACTGAATGTAGTAATACCTCGGTAATAGACCAAAAAATAAAGACATATTAAAGCTCAGCTTCCTCATCTAGAAAACCTTCCTTCAATTGACGATTCAATTAACCAGTTTTCGAAATGGTGACCTATTATTAGCTCAAAACCTTATTTTGGATACCAGTGACGCTGAATTCTTCAAAAACATTTTATAGTGGAAAATCTCAAAAAAACTCTCGCTCGTTTCTATTTAACAGTAATTGTTGATTTATTTTACTTTATTGTTCTGTTTATGTTTTACACAGCTTAAAATACTTTTTAATTTCTGATTTTGTATGTTTTCAATTGGAATCATAAGGTTTTAATTTGTGTTAATTGAAAAATTGTCCAGCATTACTCTGGGGCTTTGTTCATTCATTAATCGTTTTCGATCAAAATAAATACACTTAATTACAGCAAATAATTGTACATTGCAATTAAGTTGACTTGCTTTTTTGGTTTGTACATAAGCAAATTATGTAGAAACTTTGAATGTGTTGAATTTGTTCTTGTGTGTGGAGTGTAAAAATATATAGATGTGTCAATAACTGTCGCATCTTTATCCTTTTAATATAAGCCTAATACATCGGTCTGTGTGGCAGGACATATATTCTAGTGCTTGCCTTTGCCCTTGCGACCCTTTTGAAGCGATGGTTGCGAATGCTGCCGAGTTGTCGAGACGTCCTTGTCCTTATCAGTGTCCTTCTCCTTACCGATGTCGGACGCTGGAATATATAAAATAAGTTTTGCTTTAGGCAATATATTGGTAATTTCTAACAGTTTTTCTTGAATAGGCTAATCTACAATTTTTTTCTTTTTCATTTATGTGAACAATAATTGTCGAACTATATAAAAATATAGACCTTCAGAAATGCAAACGACATTTTATTTAAAATTAGAGATATCCAGGATCTCTAGGAAGAACTTCAAAATATTTGGTCAATTCACTTTTGTTTAATTTGGCGAATGGGTGCTACTATTTCTGTGTTCTAGAACAACTTAATTAATGTAGAATTATTTCTAATCCGAAAACAAAAAGTATTGCATAAATGAGGCTTTTGCATTTGAAGCAGTTTATTTCGAAACAGGAAATGAATTTTTAACAATTTAAATCAAGGCTGACGCAATATTGATTTGAAAAACGTATTATTTTGACCTTTGATTAGGAGATTTAAGGTTGTCAAAACTACTTTTTTTTGTGGAATAACGTGGACGTTTGCGCTTACCTGCTAAATCCGTGTCATTTAGCTGCACCTGCTCCAGCGAAGGGGTCAGATGTACCACCAGGTTCTCGTCGACTGCCTCCTCCACCTGATGTTGCTTCTCCGATTGCTTTTGGGAAGTCCTTGCCTCGTGCACAACCACCTCGCCCTCCTCCTCCTCTTCGACGACGTGAGCTTCCTCGGCAATTACGCCATTGAGGACATTGACTGCCTCCTGGGCCATGTTCGCCTGTGCCTGTCGCCGTCGATGCTCGAGATCCCGTTTGTAGTTCTGCGTCCATTCCACATGTTCCTTGTAATACTGGCTAACCGGAATCACAATCACCGAGATATCATCAACAGTGGCTGCTGCCTTGCTATCGGCGAGACGCCAATGCCCAGAGTCGTTGATTTTTCCGCGAGCCCGGGCCACCAGCTCCTGGGCGACCATCGTATAGCGATGCTTCTCCGTAGGATACTTGGAGAGCGTCTGGAAGACAGTGCGTGAAACGCCCTCATTTTCGGATACATCCCAAAGGCCGTCAGTGGCCATTACGAGCACGCCATAATCTCCGTCGCGGTTGTCCTCATCCGAAATGCAAACCACCTGCGTAAGATCTCGCTGCCTCACATCGGGATGGGGGGTGAGGAAGGGTTTTATTTGTATACCCGTGTTGATGGCCAGTAGCTCGTGATCGCCAAAGCCACGCGTCACTCCCAGTGTGCCCAGTAAGCGGCTTCTCTTGCCCTCGCCATTCACCACCGGCATGCGGAGATCCTCCCTGGTCAGCGTCTTGTAGGTCCAGCCACGCATAGTGCCCTGCCGGCAGAGAATGCGCTGGCCCATGTCCTTGATGTGCGGCCGCTTGGCGTACTCCATTGCCACATAATGTTGGCCCATTAGGTGTGGCTTCAATCTGGCCACATTCAGCAAGCGTTCGCGCTCCGTTTCGGGCGTGTGATCCGCGGAGAACGGCACTGGGTAACAGCTAGCTTCGAGTGGATCCGGCTCAATGCCAGAGTGCGCATCCGTTTGTGGCCTATCGGGAGTGGCACGGCGCTGGCAGAGCACAGCTCTTGAGTCGCCGGCATTGGCCACATACATTTTGCCATCAATAAATAATGAAACGCAGGCGGTGCAGCCGCCGGCATCTCGATAACGATCACTGTCCTGCGCTATCAGCGAGTCCATGTTGAAAAAGGCACTCTCCAGTGCACCGATGATTAGCTCGTCCTTGGTCACCCGGCGCTGGAAGTAGATGGGGTGCGGGAATGTGGGATTTAGCTTTGTGCCATCCCCTCCGCCACTGGTGGCGTCCGCATCCCGTGGCAGGAGCAGCTCAAGGCAGTCCACTAGCTTCTCGTGCAGGATATGATGGAACTGATGCGAGGCCGCCAGTGCTGCTCCATATCCGGCGTGTCCGTCGAAAATTCCGAAGTATGTGTACGGGAGATCTGGGTGCTTGTGCTCCGGATCCGAAAGAACTTGTCTGGAAATTGTAGAAAATAAAAAGGGTTAGATGGATGACAATACATTACAATTCCAATATGGGCCTTTAAAAGAAGTTTCTTTATCTAAAACTGTTTTGATCTTAATGGCAAAGTTTTCTGGGTTTCTACAAGTTCCCTGAGTCATTTTATTCGGCTCTATCGCTAACATAAGTTGTAAGGCTTGTTCCTTAAGAACTGTACCAAGGTATTTTGATATCATGAACAACAATATAAATACATAACTATAATTTTCCCTACCAGAAACCTTTTTATAAAAACTCTCAGCCGCGCCATTTGTAGGGGACTAGAAAAGTGACATGCACCTAAATCAAAACGCTATCTTAAACGTGTGTAAACAATAATCTTAGTTGTTCCTCTAAGATTTTTGACACTTTTCAAAGAAAAAATAGAAATAAATATTTACATTCCCTAATGTTTAACTCACGAGTTTTAGTAATGGTGAAGCAACCTTCAGAGGAAGATGTTAGCAAAAGCAAACAAGGCTTTTTGAATAATAAAAGAAACCAACACATGTTTTTGTCATATTTGTTGGCTTCATAAAATATCTTAATATGGTATTAAAAGGCATAGCGTAGAATTTATATTGATATTTGCGAGTAGTTTGCCCTCTGCAAAGTTTTTTTTAAAACAAAAAAACCTTATCGCTTTAATATTTCTTTGTACTATTTATCAAGAACACAAAAAATTGTTCTATCTAGCGATTAGAGAGGTAGAGATTATTAATAAAATTATTGACAGCGTAAAACAATTTCTTCAGAATAAATATACAAATGTACATGGCTTTGAGTGAAATGTTTTTTTGATATCAAGAAGATCCCTTCATATAATGGCAATGAACCTAGATCTCTGGTCTATAATGCAAATGAAATCGTATGAAACATTTTTGCATTTTGTACGATGTTATTGTAATACATTTTTAGGCATACATGGTTTAAAAAAGAGCTGAACAATTTAGTATAGGACTAAAATGGGTGATTAAATCCACCTCTTGGACCGGCCCACTTATATGCGATTTTTCTAGGCCCAAACAGATGAGTTTAAGGACCAAATCAAAGGAAAGATGTGGTAACCTCCATCGGCTGGCCCACTCACCGGCAAAAGGCGCCCTGGTCCTCGTTCCACTCTGACTTCCCGGAGTTGACGCACTCGGCGTATCCGGTGCCCCAGGGCAGCAGGTTGATGTCCCGCGGAACGATGATGGGCCGAACATTGTGGTCCGCCGAGGCGCGCAGTTCGTCCGATGTGAGAAGTTGCAGAAAGGGCGGCCGGGCGTAGGGAAACTTGTCCGGCATTGGCTGACCGCCGGAACCGCCGAACCGGAGGCGCTGGTGCGGCGCATTGTGATGGTGACCGCTTCCGGAAGCACTGCCCCGCTCGCCTGTGCCTGGCAGGGGCGGCAGATCCGGCGCGATGGCCGATATAAAACGCTCCTTAATGTTACTAAACATATTTCTACTTTTGCAATCTATCCCTCTTGCTCCCTCTCGTGCGCTTCGCTAACGCGCTCTCGCTCACTCCCACTGACGTGGCGAGCTTGCGTTGTTGTTGTGCTGCTGCCTCTTATAGTTGATTTGGTTTAATTCCTGAAATATCGGGTATATAGTATGCGGGCTTATGTAGGCGGCGACGTGGGGTCTCCGATCTGATTCACTAGGCTACGGGGCGAACAGTTTTACGTTAATCAGCGAAAACTTTGCGGATTTAAGATTTCTTTTTTTACAAATAAATCGATTAGAGCCCAGTGTGGCCGTGCATGCAGTGACTCAAAATATCGACGTTCTAGAACGCGCTGCGGATAATACTAAAAATTTGTATTTAAAGTATCTGGCATTTTTCTGTAGCAGTGGTATTTTTTCCGTTAATACTCAAATATTTATATTAATTTAAACAAACAAAATCAAAAATTCTCTCACAATAGTTGATTGAATTCGGTCGTTAAGAAATGACAACCTCTTATTTTCCCATACTTAAAAGGGGGGCAAACATGAAATTACATCGGTTGCGCCAGTCTGTGCACATTGAGAAACCTCTGAAGCACGTTTAACCGACATCCGTTAAGGTTCTTACGTACATAAAACATGAACCACTGTAAAATACATTACATTACAGAGGACATTAGTCCGAAGTAAAAAAATGTTCTTGGGGCCGCTTTCTCGAGTGAAGGCTAACATACTTACCTTGAACAGATCTATGTATAAGATATAGGATAATGACATTTTTACTCAAAGTGACTTTTAACTTTAATAAAAATTACTGTTAAGTCCAATTTACAATTTACAAATTGGCTCTCCGATACATACATATATGTAAAATAAATATACTAAGTAAAATAAAGGAACCAAACAATGGCAGTGTGAAAAGCGTATAAATATCTTAATTATTTAAAGTTTTAATTAACACTAAAAATAGACGATTTTTTTAACAGTTTTATTTTATTTTATTGCAGGTCGGAGCACAGTGAGCTGCGTGACGTCATCATCAAAACGAATGCTTCGGGAATTGCTTTGGACCAACAAAAGGTGGATCAGTATATTAAGGCAATGTCTTTGAATGGGACTGAGAAGGTGGACTAAAATTACAAACTTCTTTAATTAAAGGTACGAACATTGTTATTAATGGGATTTATTTCACTACAGGTGAACAGCGAGAAGCTTGCGGCCATGTGGATGTATGCCACCCAAATGGGAACTTTGCCGCCACCCTCGGTTCGTAAATTGACACCCCCTTCGAGGCAGATCATGCTGATTCCCTCCACCGCTGGCAGTGGGGTAAGCCCAATCACTTTTTTCGATATTCAAATTAGGGATAACGTTGTGCAACAAAATTAATGCTTTTTTAATTTACATCGAAGGATGCTATATTTTTTAATTCGTTTCGAATTCCCAAGTTAAACTGTGTTTTCCAAAAAAGTCCCCGGCGCAAGGATTCTTAGCACAAGGACCTCAAAGCTCGAAAAATGCCAACTTTCCGGAGGTATCACAGTCAAACGGATTTATGGTTTGTTTTGATGTTAACGTTTTCTCAAAGATACACTCTTTATTTTTCGATCCCTTTACTTAGAATAATTGTAGGAGTTTTTTTTTTAAGGGAGAAATAAATTAATTGCGACATAGCTTTAAATAAAGAAAAATTACTCCTTGACGACTTTGACCAATTTTCCCAAAAGTATACTCTATAAAATTGATGATAGATAAACACAACAATCAAGGATTTTACACACGTATTTTATCTATTTTATAGAGTATACTTTTAGCACATTGGTAAAAGTCTTCAAGGAGTCATTTTCCTTTGTTTATAGCGACATAATTGCGACATAATTAATTTATTTTTCCCTTTAAAAAAATCCTAAAATCCTAAAGGGATCGAAAGATAAAGAGTGTTTTTTTTTAAACTTTAACATCAAAACAAACAAAGAATCCGTTTGACTGTGATACCTCCGAAAAGTTGGACATCAGGATCACTAGCCGAGTCGATATAGCCATGTCCGTCCGTCTGTCTGTCCGTATGACCGCTGATATCTCGAAAACTGCGAAAGCTAAAAAGTTGGGATTAACACCCCATATTCTTGAACTTTCTACGCAGCGCATGTTTGATTCAGCCGTTCGCCACGACCACTATAACATAATCTCCTTAAAGGACCTCTGAAGCCAACCAATAGCCTGACGCCAAATGACATGTAAATGGCATTATTTTGTGTTTATTTTGTTTTTTTAATTGGACCATTAATTAAAAAGTATGAACAAATACTAGAATGCAAGCAGTTGCTTTAGTGGTGTCGCTTTGATGCTTGCATATCTCCTATTTGGTAGGGTATTTGATAGTCGAGGCACTTGACTGTAGCATTCTCGTTTGTTTTGTTCTTATATTATGCATTTATAATTTTGAAATATTTCAGATAGCACCACCGCCACCCACACGCCTGCCTCCTCCGCCGCCGGGTGTCGGAGCTGGACTTTTGCTGCCGGTTCCTCCGCTGCCGCCCCATTACCGTGGGATGACTCTTCCTTACATGCGGCCCGGTCCGGGATCCGTGCTCTACGCCCATCCGGCCAGCTTGAGCGGCACATATCGGACCCACAAGAGCACCAAGTCGGCGGAGATCAACGGGCAACGAAGGCGCCGGCGGGCGGGAAAATCGGATGCGAATCGCCGGCAGCGCCGCAAATCAGAGGCCGATGTCCTGGACGGAGCACCCAATTTCCAATATACTGGTCTGGATCGAGCCATAGCCGATAGCTTCTTGGCTAGGCAGGAACAGTCGCAGGCGGGCAGTCACATCGACTATTCGTCGTCAGCCTCCTCGGACTTGTACGGCGGTCAGAGGGCTTCCTCCAAAACGAAGATCGTCTGCCGGGATGTGGTAATGTGAAGGGGAGATGAGCCTCAATACAAATCCGCATTTCCCTGACTTTTGTACATATTCTTTTCGCGGAGCCTTTCTTCAAGTGGCTTCAACAGAAAAATTACACATTTTTTTAGTCCTATCCATAACTCTATATCTATATATATATATATGCGTATTAATTGTAAGAACCTAATGAATCGAATAAATTTATGTATATTAAACGAAATAAATTAATTAATGAAAACTAGGAATTTACTTTTTCAACTACACCAACGTATTTTGGAATGAGAAAGTTCAAATGGCAAGGAAAGCGAAAAACGTATAATGTTCGAATACTATAATGAGAGCCATAAGATATATAATTTATTTCCGCCAAAGCATTTATACGTAAATTCATTTATTGCTTAAGTCTCAGAAGGTAAGATATAACCGTATTACAGGTTGAGAATATTGTATTTATTAGTGACACCCTGTTGCAGCGTTTATAAAATCTGTAGAAAATGATTAGTTAACCTAGAAATCCTCATCGCTGTGGTGCTCTGTTTTATTGGCCGTCTTAGGTCGCAACGGCAGTTCTCCAGTTAACTTTGAAATGCTAATGTCATCTATCGAGTTGAGATCAACTAGGGGTAAAAAGTTGTACAGAGTATTTAAAATAGAACTTAATAGCTTCTCCACTTACAATCGTCATCACCGGCTCCCAAAGCAATATGGCTCAATCCACTTATTCCACTAATGCCGCTCATCCCACTCATGCCCATGATCTCGCCCACATCAAGTTCACTTTCGGAGCTCCCGAAGCTGCTGTCATCATCTCGTGAATTGAGCATACTACTTCCGGGTCCATTACGGCCATTTCGATGGGTGCCACCTGCTTCTCCTTCAGTCGCTCCACCTCTTCTGGATCCTCGGGATGCTCTGGCATCACCACCTCCTTCTGGTCCTGCGGCGTTTCTTCCTGTGGTTCGATCATATTAACCAGCAAATATGTTAATTAAATTTACAATAAAGAGGAAACGCTATAGTAGAGTGCTTCGACTATTAAAAACCTGTTACTCAGCTTAACAATATTAATACAAATATGCCTTCTTGTATGTGTTTCGCTCGCCTTATTTCAAATACAATACGAATATAATATAATAACAGGTATAAATATATTATATTGCGATTTGAATTCCCTTAAAAACACTTAAATTAAAAATTAAAAATTTTTAAAAATATTTTTCTGAAAGAAGTTAAGATGTTCCAGAAAGTTGCATACCAAATATTTAAATATCTCAACCAAGTCTCAAATGCTGCATAACTTAAAAATCGGAGCTTAATTAGAAAAATATTTTTTAAAAATAAACGGTAAGAGTTTAAAAAAAACCGATCCTTATATTTCAATCCTCTAACGAAAAAAAAATTTCGATTGATTCTGAGATTTGACCCAACTTGGCCTGTCACGTTTCACGTGGAATTACTCATATTGAATTCGTAATGGAGACCCGAAGGTGATTCGGCCCTAGTATACTTTTCCTATTACTACACCCAAAAAAAAAATGAATCGCAGGTCAATTCGACCTTTTTTAAGATCATTTTTAACTTGATATGGGGCCAGGTAAATGTGATATGGTCGAAAACCAAAACTTATTCTAGTGCGAGCGAGGAAACATGCTTGAAGTTCGTTAGTTCGAGTTTCGAATACGTCTTTCTCGCTTCCACTCATGTCATTTTGCTCGCCATATTGATTCTTGCGCTCTTTTTCGAAGTTAATGATGATATATTTAATGTAAATTTGATGAATATTTCAGGTAAAAACGATATGAGTAGGAATAACCAGAAAATTACATGGACTTATCGATTTTACGGCGACGTGCTTTTTTTTGTGTGTATAGTAATTTAAATTGTGTCCCGACCACATTACAAGGCGGCCATGCCTATGGCAAAGTAATCCATGTTGTAATCCATTGTTTCCCTATTACTAGAGGAGAAGTAATGCATTCGTAATCGATTTTGTAATGGCAATTTTCGCCGCTGGGTAATAGCGTTTATGAGTGCAAGATCTGGAGTGCGTAATTCCTTACCTGTGAGAGAGACTGTCTTTCTGCTTCTTCCCGTTGTGGGCCGTACTCTGGAGGTGGCTGTGCCAGGACGCTTTCCCTGTGCCGAAGTGAGGCTGTTCTGCTGCATCATCTTGTCCTCGTCCCGAATATCGGGTATCTCCGAGTCGAGGCCGAAGACACTCCTGCCATTTACCACCATGTCAAGGCCGGAAACCGCTTCGCCGCCATCCTCGTCCTCATCCTCGTCGTCTAGATCATCGTCATCGTCTTCAATGAGGCCCTCCGGGATGAAGGGTATGGAGCTCTCGGCGGGCTTTTGCAGAACGGGCGAGGCAATGGGCGTGGCACGTTTGGTACGCAACTCCAGTTGGGACTTCAGAGCATCGCGGACATGCAACCTTAGGAAGAAGCGCTGGAAAAGCTGCTGCAGTTCCTTCTCACAGTCCTCGAACTCGGCCATGTGGGCCGGTCGAATGCGATGCAGAGCCTCCAATCTTTGGCGCGTTCTCTCTAGCTCCGCACGGCGGCGCTGCAGCTTGGAGCCCAGCGCATTTAGTTCCACTTTTCCGGCCTCGAGTTGGGCCCTGCTCGACTGCAGGCGCACCTGACTGGCTTGGATGGCGTTCTTCAGAGTCCTCTCCACACTGAGCAGTTCCAGGGGCCTTTGGGCCTGGGACATCCGGGCCTCCTTGTTCAGCAGCTCCTTTGAAAGCAGCTCGTATATGGTGGAGCCTCGCTGGGCTAAATCTGCAGCCAGCTCTCGGGCTTTACGCAACTCGTCCATTTTGTCCCCAATGTCGACGGGATTTAGGCTTCTATACTGATCCCGTTGGTCCTCCTCGTCGCGATCGCCTTCGTTTTGTCCTGGGGCCGTCAGTAGTCGGGTGACTTTCTGCAGTTCCGCTGCCGTAACCGCTGCGGCCGCATACAGTTTCCGGGGATTCAGGCGTATGGCCGCCTTGGTAACAAAAAATTCGGTCGCCGAACGGACGAGGAGAATCCGCTGCTCCTCTGATTCCACGCCGCCGGGCAAAGTGGCACCCGGTTCCATCAGACCAGCCAGCCATTGCAGGAGCTCGGAGACTATGTGGAAACTGGCCAGGCTGCCATGCTTATTGGCCAGGGATTGGAGGGGAAATACCCGGGGAAAGCCCAACAACTTGAGGTGTTCCCCCAGATCTACAAGAGGGGAAGTTTGTACGCGTAAGATGAGAAGGGATGAGAAGGGGCAGAGTCAGAACGCACCTCGCACATCCTTGAAGGACATTCCTGGATTCCGACGTGTTCACCTGTTTTTGCTGCGCCGGCTGCGCTGGCAATTGCATTTTCCACACCGTCATTTGTTGTGGTCTTTGCCGCCTTTGTTTGCGCCACCGAATCCCAAATTGAAGGTTGCCAGGCAACGGACAATACACAGCCAAAAAAACTAGCAGATGCATTTTATGGTATAGTCGTAAGAAACGATATAGCCGATTTGTAACAAAATGTATTAATTTAATTATTAGAGCGGATAGAAGTCAATGATGTGATACCCTATAATATAATACTTTTCTGCAATCCCTCACCTAAAACCGAAGAGCAAGGATAAAATAGTCTGAACATGGAAATAACATTATTAACGAATCAAGATAATCTTGAAGAGACTTGTCAACCTTCCCATTTTGTAAATGTTGATTTTTTTGCACAGACAGCAGCAAGTAAACTTAAGTGTAAGGCATTTTTATAAACTATATGTCAATGCCGATAGGAACAACAAATAGGCCAACACAAAAATTAAATATTTCAAGACACGTACAGAATGACTTCTTGGAAAATATTGATTTTTATATCCTTGCAGAAGGTATTTGTAATTTTTTCACAAATTTAGAACTCAATGAAGGAGACGTTACCGAGCCTGTAAAGTAAATTTATTGTTGATCTGTCCGTTTCTCTCAGTTTTAAAGCTAATTAATTAATTATTTCAGAATTTCGTATTCAATTTAAGAAATATATAAAGTCATCGAAATGTAAAACGCTTTAAATATTTCTAAAATTAATTATTTAATAGCTGCCATAGAAGCGATCTGCATAAACTTTAATTTTCCAAAGCTTGCTTCCTTTCTCGTTTTACATTATTTTAATCACTAATTATTTTAAATAGTTAAAATAAATGGAAATCTTAAAAATCCATACAAACTTCCGGATTACACATCAAAAAACTAAAAAAAAAAATTTTTATTATAAAAAAATAAAATTAAGTTGAATGAAATTGTACAATATGAATGAATATTATTTTAATATTTACAACCAAAGAATTTAATTTTTATTGTTCTTTTGTATGCATTTATTGCAGTGCCCTCCTACCCAGTGTGACACGTTTTCATGTATTGCTGTGGTCGGTCATACAGAGTTCACCTAGGCAACGGTTGCCCCGTTGCCTTACCACTGAAAAATTTAGGGGATGTGTGTCATATTTGGAAATGTTCACGAGGATGTACAGTTCACCCACCAGAGGGCGCCAGTCAAGCTAATATAGCAACGTAATTGACCTGTTGCCTGTTAAGCACATTATTATAAGTTGCCCTTTGTATTCAAGTTTCTTCTAAATGTATTTTAATTACCTTGGCATCGATTTTTTCTAATTTCCGTTCAATTTAATGGATTCTTGTATGCCACTGACAGATTTTAATCAGCAAAAAGCCATTAGTTGTGCATCCTGTACACGAAGTCAATAAGGAACGCTGTAGTCAGGTGCAATGCAAAATGTGTCATTTCTTGGAATAAAGCGACATCTGTTGGTAATTTTCGAAACTTATACATTATTGACATTACTCACATTACTCTTAAAAAAAATCCTTAAAATTTTCCAAGTATAGGGTTTGAAAGATAAAGAGTGTATCTCTTAAAAAAACAAACCATGAATCCGATTGCCTCTAAGATCTCCGGAAAGTTGGCCAATTTCAGCATTTTTCGAACTTTGAACTTTTCGAACTTTTTTCTTCGGGGAACCATTTCGAAAACGCAGTTCAACTTGGGAATTTGTAACGAATTCAAAAACAAAGCAGCCATAGAGGTAAATTTTTGATGTTGCACAGTGTAATCATACATATGTGTTTTTTTTGTCACATTTTTGATTTGCCTGAGAATGGTTATACATTTGTTATTCGGCAAATAAGTAAGCACACGTATCAGGATTTCAACGGAAAATGATATGTTTTCAGTTCAATTTTTTCAAGTTTGGCAAACAGTAAAGAACCGTATGTATCTGCCTGTAGTAATCCGTGTCTTTCGTATGAAGTCATTTGAAAACTGTTCTTTCAAAATAAAATTAACACAACAGCACAAATTTTCCGATTTTTTTTTTAATTAAAACAAGTAAAGACTAAAACATAAATTATTAGCATTGCCCCAAAAACAAAACGTTTTCTTAATTTTAATATATGCCCAAGTTAGTTAGTTTCAATCGGTTTATACGTTATACGTAATCAAAAAATGTTATATATCCATCTCCCTCGCACTCCCTTTAGCCGAGTGACGGGTATTAGATAGTCGGGACACGAACCCGACTATAGCGTTCTCTCTTGTTCTTATATAGTTTTAACCAATTTTCTCATTTTTTTTTCTTTCAAAATGACGACTGTGGGAATTTTTGTTGTTGCTTAACAATAAATACCTAATCGTACAAATTTCTACATGGAGTAGGTTCAGCCAGTGCACACTGGGCCAGCCGATCAGATTTTTGGCCAAAAATACGTTTTTCTTTTTTAAGAAAATGACCAAATTGAGTTTGGGATCCTTTTTATAATACATTAAACTAATTTATGCCAAAGTTTCAAAGAATTCGGGCAAGTAGTTTTCTTTTACCATATTTTCAAAGTGAAAAATTCATAAAATATTGATGGAAATGAAAAAAAATTTAGAAGTCAAAGATGCTGATGTTGCTGTTCGACTTCTTTCCGAAACTTGCAGAAGGGATTATTTTCAACAAGTAAAAAATATAATATAGCTCGTATGTCTTACTTGTTTGCTAAAATAAATGTAATTGTTAATTTTTACGCTTTTTTTCAGCAAATGAGTACTTTGCTTTTCGAGTGCCTTCGAGTGCCATCCCCAAATTAGTTCATTCCTTCAAAAAAAAATTCGTTGATCAATTTACTAAAAGCGTAGCCCACCGACTCGATGCGGTTTTGCCTTAGTTTTCGGTAATTTAAGTTTTAATTGAAGGCTTAAATCGAAGTCGAGCTATTTTGAAGAGCTTATCTAAGAGAGCCCAAGAGTAGGCCATACTTTATTTCTTCAGGTTTTGGTGAACATTTTGCGCTCAAAAATTTGATTTTAGTGTGACTAACATCTAAAATCTATTTTTTACGTACACTAATCGATTATGGTATTTTCCAAACCTATATCTATCTATTTAATCAGGACTATGCAAATAAAAATGTAGCATACTTTTGTGATGACTTCAGAATATGTCAAATTAACATTAAACAAATCAAAAAACAATATTTTTAAACAATTTTTTTTACATAATTTGATTATATAAAACTTAAAAGGTAACAAGAACAAAAAAATAGAAATTTTTTTTAAATCGATTGTTTGATAAACGTTGATGTGGGAGCCTCCGAAAGTTGCACTTTTTAACGGTTCATAAATCTTAAATGACATAATATTTTTTAGTGATGTTAATTTTTTTTAGTTTGTTTTATCTCATACTTTATTGTTTTCGAAAATTGAAGAAGTGCGTCTTCTAGTTATTTTTTTAAAAATAAAAAACCGAAAAGTACGTAAAATTTTCCGACTTTGGTCTGGATTATCTATATCATATAAAATTCCAAGAAATTTTACTTGTAGTTCGTTGGAAAGTTCAATCTTTTAAGAAAAAAACGCAAAAAACTGCATCCTTCTAACTGTCCTAGGAAAGAAATTACAGATTTTTGGCCAAAAAATTAACTTTCTGGCCCAGTGTGCGCCCTACCAATACAAGCCCGACCACTGTGCATCTCAGTAAATTTTCGCCTTCGCACACCTTCCTGGTGCTCTTCGTCACTACGTGGACTGCCGTCTACAGTGAAATAGAATTGCATGGAAAACTAAAATTAGTATTAAACAAAAAAATCTTTTTGTAATGGAATTTGTCGTAATGGAATCTACATTGGTATTGACTATGGAATCTATTAAAATCTATTAAGGACTACAAAAATGCATTATGATATGTAATTTTTCGGTGGCAGCCCTATACCTTAATATGTATTACCAATATACTAAATACTTCTAACAGCAAATAAGCATTAAGTAGGCTATTCGTTTTCCTGTCAATTGGAACCTGTCAGATTAGGCTCGTACGTCTTTCTGTGGAAAGTGAAAAATCTGTGAAAGTTCTGGATATTCCATAAGCCACAGCCATGGCCCCAAGGAAACGCATTTCGAAGATCGCATCGCGGAGTATGGTGCCGGTGGTGCAGACGGCGGCGGAGAGCACATCTCAGCGTTCGGTTGGCACCCAAACTAATATACTGGCAATGGGTGCATCGAAGCGCAAGAAGATCCAGGACAAGGTCAAGCCGCTGGCGTTGCAGATACCGCTGTCCCAACAGTTGGCGGTCCGTCCACCTGCAGCACCGTTGGCCGCTTCCATCATGCTATGTGAACAACCAGCGGTTTGCCCACCCTTTGTGCCCGATTCAAATGAGAAGGCCTGTCAGGCGGTGGACAGCGGTACGCTGCACACAGCCGACCGGTGGATCACCCCGAACTCCGGCGAACGACAGATGAGCTACCTCAAGTCCCTGGTGACCAATCGACGCGAAAAGGCAAATCACTGGGATCGCAGACGTCTGGAAACGCTGATGACCCAGATCAACGACAATCCACCGCCGCGTTGGCACCTGGCCTCCCAAATGTGGCTGGAGGTCGACCAACTTGAGGAGCGCATAGAGGCCTACGATCAGAGGGAGCTGCTCAATGACAAGAAACGTAAAATTGACGAGGAGGTGGACAAGAACCTGTACGGAGGACAGGACGAAGAAAAGGCCGCTAGGCAGGATGAGCAGCAGAACGGGGAGGTCCTTCAGCAACCAGCTCAGATTTAGGAACTCGAGCTGTCTGTAATGGCTTATTGTTCTCAATGTAATGTAATAAAGCAAAACATTTTTTATCACATTCAGCTAATGTAAATTAAGTACTATACATATATACACTCTCCTTTCTCCTGGATAATGGGACTTATATTATTTATAATATTTTACACTTACAAAGAAATGTAAAAATAGTGTTTGAAATACTAACACAGAACCTAACAAAATCGCACAACTCCTTAATAATATAAAGTTCAGCGCACAGTGGGGTAACAAAGATTAAAAGCGATTGTGTGGGAGTGGCACATTCGCATAACAAACTTGCGACCCAAACTCTCTGTCTCTTTTAGTTTCCGAGCTCCCAGAAGGACATGGCTAGATCGACTCGTCTATGATCTGATCATTTGGCGCCCACGTTATTTTCGCAAATTGGGCAAATTCGTCTCCTTCGCTGCGTTTCAACCTTTTGACTGAAATAAATATACCCTTTGCAAGGCAGGGGCATTTTAAGTCATTACATACACCCAGCCTTAAACTAAGGTAACATGGACTAAATTTGGAGCTACACTCAAAATAAATTTAACCCTTAATTTTAGAAAATCGCCATTCAAATTTTTCTACCCGTTACTCGTAGAGAAAAAGGGTATATTGTTTTCGTGCAAAAGTATGTAACAGGGAGAACGAAGCGTTTCCGACCCTATAAAGTATATGTATTCTTGATCAGGGTCACTAGCCGAGTCGATATAGCCATGTCCGTCCGTCTGTATGAACCTGAGATCTCGGAAACTACAAAAGCTAGAAGGTTGAGATTTCCCACACATATTTTTGGGCTTATACGCAGCGCAAGTCTGTAATAAACTTGCGAGCGCCACGCCTCCTTTAACGCCCTCCTTTATGGCAAAACCGGGAACTTTTGAATTCAATTACAAGAGAACCATGGCCGACCGCCAAGTCTTTTGCACGTAAATCCATCGAGGATAATTTTTTTTCGAATTTCGGGGGTGAGCCCGCTAATATAAAGTATTACCCAAATGAAATATTCTCGGTGGACACTGATTCCTTAAGAACTCGAATGACAATGGATTATCAACTTATAAAAGTATTATAAAAGTAAAGTTCAAGAAATCGCTGTCCAAGGATTGTAAAAAAAAATGCGCCTCAGGCGAAAAATATTTTTAAACAAATCGTGCGGTAAAACCGCCGCGCCGTTTGCGCGTTCGAAAGATGTCAACAGAATAACAGGTATTTACACTCGCCTACACACAAAGAAAAAACTTGGTAAAATCAACTGTAATAATTGTCAAACACGCCCCAATTCTACTAAGTAAATTGTCATTTCACAACAACAAAATACACACAATTAGCAAAGACACAAACCCAAAGCAAAAACAAAATACACGTAACTATTTTAATAGTTACGTAACTATCTTTGTTGGTCAATTTTACCAAGCAAATGTTTTTGTGTGTATAGCGACTCTTCTTGATTTTAACTGTTGTAACTTTTTAGGGGTCCGCCAAAAAAATATTTAAGCTCAAATTTGGATTTGTTATTACTTATCGTACAGTATCAACCCTGCAGGAAAAATGCGAACTAGTCTGAAAAACAACTAGTTAAATAACTAATATAAAGCAACCGGAATTTGTCTGAATGCATTTGGACCACACAGGGTCTAGAAAATTTGTGCTAGTCGAAAAAATTATTAATACAAAACTAGTAAAATATAAACTTGTCTCGGACTAGTACCTTTCTGACAAAAAAAACCTTTAAAATATTTAACTGGTAGAACAAATAAATGTTAGGGTCTAGTTAAAAGGCAACTGGAATTTAACTAGATGCAAATGAAACACATATGATCCAAAAATATAGCCTAGAGTGTAAATGTCTTGGGAAGTTTAGCACTAAACAAATCAAACACTCGAGGTCCTTGGTTCAATCCCCAGTCTCTGTACATTTTTTTTTGTTTTTTGTTTGGTAGGTGATGCTTTAGTTTTATTTTAAACTTTGTTTAATCTGTCCGACGCAATATATATGTGAAAAATCGCTGTTTATGAATTTTGTCACACTAAAATTCATAAACCTTGTTAGGGCATTACAAAATGTGATGCGTGTATGGCTCAATCAGTAAGTGTGTCTACAAATCCAAAGGTCCCGGGTTCAAGTCCTAGAAAGAGCGACTTGCCTCAAAAAAAGTAAGTTTGTTATAATTCCATTTAATTATCATTTACTGTATTTGATTAGATAATTATCAGAAATTCTCTAAGGACCGCGCCTATTAATTGGATACTAAATTAGGAGAGCGTCAAGTTAGGCATCGTCAAGTACTAGTGAAATTCAATCACTTGATGGTTTAAAGATTAATTTTTAGTTTTTTCGTGAAAATATTTTTTTGAGTGTATTTTAACAGCTGAAACCATAAATTGGTTAACAGTCACTAGTGCAAAACTAGTAGCAAATGGACTAGTTGTTTCCGACGACAAGCATACACTCAGAAAAAAATCGCCCTAAATTTTAGAAAATCGCCATACTTTGAAAATCGCCTTGAAATTCAGAAAATATTTCTATTTTTTAGAAATAATTTTCTAAATAATAAGAAAAACTTACCCTGATTAGATCAACTCCTCTTGTTATCCACTTTTAGAAAAAATTTTCTGTTATTCAGAAATTTTTCTTTCAAACTAAGAAAAAATCGCCTTACATTTTAAGAAATTGGCCCAATCGGTAGCCTAGGGGTCTAATGCGAGCGGATTATTTGTTTTCTACGCTTATATTCGGAAGCGTGTGTTCGATCCCACGTCGAGGCGGACAAATTTTGCGTATTTTTTTTTTTTTTTGGCGCATTAATATGTATACTTTAATACAAATAAGGATTTAGGTAAGCTAACACACACATAATGGATAAATAAGAGTATAAACCTAGAACCCAAGAGAACAGAATGAGAATGTACTTTGTACAGCGCCTCTCGTGATGCTTCCCTGGCGCAGCTAGTAGAGTGTTTGGCTGCAAACTGTTAGGTAAGGGGTTCGAATCCCGCCAGCGACCAAAATGTTTTTCTCAAGATAGTAAGTTATTTGATTTTTATGTTTATCATTAATAAATAATATAATAATTTCAGTTACAATTCAAGATTAAAAGTGTGTTTGTGTACAAGCATCGTGACGTCATCCATGTGTTTAAATAGAGGTGAGAAAAATAAGTTGAGAAACGAGAACCCCAACAACAACACCCCACTCCGACAGAGGGGTGGAGTCGGCATAACTCCCGATTCCCCGATTTTTTTTCTTCTTCTTATTCAATTTTGCAAAAACTAACCCTAAATTTAAGACATTTTTTTTCTAATTTTTAGAAATATTTTTTCTAAAAGGCAAGGCGAGCTGCCTGTGGCTTAAAAAGTATGGCGATTTTCTAAAACTCAGGGCGATTTTTTTTCTGAGTGTATGAAAAATGGACCACTTCGTTACAAGGAAATGGACATAACTTTAACTAGTTAACCTTCTTGACCCAACTAGTATATTAATAGTCCAAAACTGATTCCGTTTCATGCAGGAAATGTCAATCTCAATACTATAACAGTTACTTGGCGCAAGATACAAAATTTTACGCTTTGCTCCCGTCCTCCCCCACATACAAAAATGTAGGCTTCAGTGCACATGATGGCTGTGATTATATTATTACAAAATCAGCACATCAATTATTTATTTAATGAGACAAAATAATTGAGCAAGCAATTTCTATATTTAGTGTTTGACTAAGATAAACAAAGGGAGGGCCATAAAAGGCAGGTGTTTGAGTCCAATGCCAAACATTTAACATGAAGATGCGTCTCTATCTGCTGCTGTTTTTGGCACTCGGCTGTTGTCTGATGGTAAGTGAAAATGTGTAACTTAAAATATTATGAAGGACGGTGATACATTTATTAAGTTGAATTTTCCATATATTTCTAGCAACTGACCACAGCAAATGTTGGTTTGGTTCGTGGATTTGAGGTTCTCGGGCATCGTCACAACTCCTCTGGTGAACCGTTCAGAGCTCCTCCACCACCTCCTAGCACTACCGCAGCTGGATCAACAGGTTAGGGTTATCCAGAACTATACAGAGAGACAACATTTGACAAAAGCACAATGTGAATTTAATTCTTGTAAATTAATCTTTGTCAAGTAAAACTTAGGAAGTATTTTACTAAAGCATATAAAAGGTATTCGATGCATAATTATTACGCTGCATAAAGAGGTAACTTTTTATACCCTTGCAGGTATGCCTACTTAATGTGTTGTTTTTACACTCAGAATTCCCAAACGTTTTTAAGGTTTTAAGACTACTTTAACTTAAAATTCGGACGAAAAAAAGTCCGTATACTATAGTATTATAACCTTTAAAAAAAAACATAAAAATCAAGTTGAATCACACAGGGTTTGAACCCACAACCCTATGAACTTAGTCCTCAAAAAGCAAAGTTGAAAGAGCAAGTGATTAGACCGCTGGGCTACCGAATTTCACACTTTTGGAGTGATTTTTAGGGCAAATCGCCCTTGTATTTAGAAAAATTGTACGAATTGTATTGTATTTAGGGCAATTCGCCGTTGGATTTAAAAAAGGTCAAAACAAAGCAAATCGAAAAAAAATCGCCCTAAATATTAAAAAAATGGAAAAATTAACCCTAAAAAGATTTTTTTATGGTCTGCCTTGAATTATGGCAAATTTGTCGTGAAAATAGAAAATTTTTCTCAGTTCAAGGGCATAAATTTTTTAGGGCGATTTTCTAAAATGTAGAAAATTAATTTTATGAGTGTAATAGTGGTGACGTTGGAGGGTATCCGTTCCAATAGGGTGGAACCACAAGTGGAGTTCACTGTAAATTTGAAAGAAAGTCTCTCCGAATTGAACAATAAAGTCAAGGATTCAAACTCTTCGTTTACTGTTGCTCTACACTCATAGAAATTTTTACCCTAAATCGCCCTAAAAACGGGCTTTTCACCCGTGGATTTAGAAAATCGCCCGGATCCCCTGGCGATTCGG